TGAGTACTGTTTTTTTGGCTATCGTATTACCTGGATGTCTAACCTTCATCGACGTAACTCAAATACATTGCTCCAGTGTGTACATAGCATACAAATTACAAGCACAAAAAATGTGTATTTTCAATGGATCTTGTGAAATGTTCATCTTCTAGCTTCGTGGAAAGACAGAAGAAACCATACACTAATTTGCATGTAGTTTAACAGTAAAACTCACTCAAGGATAAAAATTGCCAATTACTTACATCATTACAGATTAAAGCCACAAAGAAAGCAAAAAAGGTGTGAAGTTGTTCTAGAACAGCACACACATGCAAAATCGCTGTCAATAGTCAAATCTCAGTCAAATCCCTGGTCAAATCTGGACAACTCAAATAGTCAAAAGTGACCACCTCTACATAACAAACCCCTGGCCATTGTGACCACTTTTTGGCACTGTCCCTTACGTTACATAATTTTTCTTTATGAACCTTGTCTATAGTGATCATCTGTCCACATGGACAGGATTTTATCAGTCCCCCAAGAGGACTTTTTGGGCAGTTTTGACTATGAATAACAATGTAGCTTGCTAAAGGTGTTAATCATGTCATTAAACAAAAGTGGTAGTTTCTAAATTTGAGATTCAGAAACTCTGACTTTAAGTTTAACTTACCTCTGTATTCTGGAGAGAATTTCCGCAGATTTTTGGGCAGGGACAGGTAAAAGTGGTGTTCTCTGGATATCATGGGTTTGCAAACCGTGTGTTCGTCAAATCTCATCATGCTCGAGTGCCCCCCGACTTGGTGAATGAAGGGTTCGAGGGGGACCGCTCGAGAATAGTCTACGTCCACGCATTCATAGTCTGCCATGCTCTGTCTTCTCGCTCGCTCTTCCTCCGCGGTCGGCTCGTCTAAACACATCGAGGTCTGCGAAGACCAACACTGACAGAAAAGCGACAGACTCTGTCCTCCCCGCTGCAGAGTTCTTCCTGTCGTGATGGCTGGCAACTTGACCAACCGGTTTTACACTGGGTGTGAGTCAGGAGGTCGACTAGGTCTAAGCTTCAAATGTGATTGATGAACACCTATATCACAATAACGTAACACAAAATAAGTCAACAACTGAATAAATTCTCTGAGTCAGACGTTTCAGAATCAGATAGCATCCACTATGACTAATAATTAACACAGTATACATACAAAAAAACACTTATACAAACATAAACACAAGAAATATTTTTCTTGGCACTAAAATGTGCTTGAATTTTGTAGTTGTGAATTGATCAAAAATACTGGCAGAGAGCCACTAGCTCCAAAATACATCAAATATTTCAAGATTCGCAGTGTTACAACTGCATATGCTTCATAATCATAGTGGAAGATACGTAATTTGTTTTGGGCAGCCATATCCTAACCTAACCAGTGCCATCTGCCCTTCAGTGTACTGTTGTCCTGTACAGTGCGTCATGATAAATTTGGATCATAACTAGGTTGAATGTCTTATTTTTTTCCATATACATGTACTTGTAAACATCCATAGATTGAATAACCATAATAAATTGTTCACAACAGAATAACCCATATTCATAAGCAAATGCACTTTCTAATGGCAAATTATGGGAAACAAAGCGGAATTCTCGCCACGACGGCTGTCTTTCTACAATATAAAGGACATCGACCTGTGAGCAAAGCCGCCCTAAGTCTACAGAGCTAGTCAAAGCCTCAGCTCGTCCGAAAATCAACACGTCAAGTTATCCTGATCGATATAAGGTATCCGACAGCCAAGATAGCGGAATTTTCCGATCGCTTTGCTTCGCTGCTAGAATAACAAGTCACTCTCTATCGCTTCGTCTCGCCAAAAAATCAACATATCTTGACACTTTACCTCATAAATACTTGGTGAAGTGGTGCCCTTGCGTTGTGAACGGTATTTGTTTTGAATAAACTGCGTTTTTTGCTGTATTTAGTGACGAAAGGGCGATTCCCCCCTCCCTCTGCGCTTTAGTCGATCGTCTGCTTTTTGAAATGAATATTTCTGTGAAACGTCATCGCTCGGTTCACCCTAGTTCACGACATGTAAATATTACCACAGCCCTCAGCGCGCCTATCCCCGCAATACATCCCGATCACCCGGAGACGGGTGAAGTCACTACAGAACGAGGTAAGTATTTGAAAGTGATCACGTGATGGAATGACGCAACACCGTGTAGATCACATGACAAAAACATGATGTTCACCCTGACGACCAATCACAGGCGAGAGCCACCAAAGGGACAATCTCCAAGCAGATGCATGGAGAGAAGATCGTAACGCATCCAGACTTCCTGTTTTAGCCGGCCTTGAAACCGACCCCGTAAAACCCCCGGCAAGCGTTAAAATATTGTTAAAGACTAAGCAGGCGGGCAACACTTTCTCCGTCGTAGGAATGCCGGCTGTCAAATAAAGGCCTTGACTTGACTGACACTGAGCGTACGTGTTCTACGTGACTTCTACCTGTGACGTTACCGGGCGTAGGTCACCAGGTACCCAAGTAGGTCAACGTTGTTAAAGTGCCCAACGCACGCAACATTTTGCTAGGCGTGTTGTAACATAATGCCTTTTGCAACTACATTAGGCCACAGCGCGCGCATTAAAAAAATCATTAAAAAGCAAACAAGAAAGTTGCCCTCTGACAGCGGTCTACATGCCGAAAATGGACAAAGATGTCGTGCCGGAACGTGGATGGCAGGTAAGAATAAAAAGAGAGGAGACAAGTAAAGGTTCCGATTTAATGTTTTGTCTTTTACTTTGATGCATGCAGTGATGTATTTCATTCCTTTTATATGGAATGGTGGCTGTGTATGTGATGTGCCCACGGAATCAAAACCATTTGTACAATGATCAAAAACTTTAATATTGTTCAAAGTTGGTTTAATTAGAAATAATTGTTGTAACAAGTTAATAGTATAACATTTCTCTTTTAACAAGGTTTATGATGTAGGAATCTTGTACATTTTTGGACCGCCTTGTTTTTTTTCGCCCTATCGCATTAGATTTGGAGTTTGCGAGGATGTCATCCATGAAATTTACATGCTGTGGCCTTATCTATCACCATTGAATGCTTTTATGGTGTAGTTCCAGACTGAATGGATAGGTGGCGCGCTGTCCTGCGCGATCAGCTGTTCGGACTGCTGATGAGGACAGGTCAGTTCGGGAGATGCTGTCTTGGCTGTTTCCCAATTTTGGTTTCATGATAAATACCAACAGTAGCGAGACATAATATCTAATACGTGTATTGTAGTCTAGCACTCTAAGAAGATATGTAAAGCATCTCTTTGTACAATTCCCATCGTCAGTTACGTTATAAAATGAATGGACCAAGTGGGGGAGGGGGGCCCAGAAAGTTGGACTTTATGTAGCCGCGGCGACTGTTGCAGGGCTTCTCT